CTTTGGCTAGACTGCTCATTTAGCCGACTTCCGTTCTTGTAAAGCTCCTTTTCTCATTCTGCCCAAGGTTGTGTCCTCTTTTTAGCACAATTAACTCATCAGGCTCCTTTTCTTCTGTCCATCATCCTTTTCCAAAGGAGATTGTTTTAGCACACTTTATGTGCAAGAGCAGTCAGGGCCTACCCCACCACTACAGCTTCCTTTTGAAGACAGAATCTAAGTAAGGACAAAATTCTGTGTTCCCTGTTACGCTCATTGTAGAAGAGCGGTGAGTGCTTCATGGGCTTTTTGGCACCAGACATCCTTTTCCAGCAATGTATATTGTGATCTGGTTCTAAGTCCACACATATGCAAAATTCTATGGTGTGACTGTGGTTGCCTTCGTGGATGCTTACAAATTGATTTGATTTACAAATGGAAAATATTATTTTATGGTGACTACAAAAAAAATGCAGTTTTTTTCCCTTTATACCAGCGGGCTTATGGGCAATCTAGTATTCGTAATCACTTGTATGGACATTATCCAAGTTGCGCTGTATGTATGCCACATGTGAAACTAAACAACATATAAACTGTATATTAGGGCCAGGGTAATAAAATGAGTCAAAACTAACCAATCAGTTCCTTTTATTTGAAGCCGTTCTTTGTCCAAAACGTAACCTCCTCCTGCCCCCCTCTAACCCATTCAGCTGTTTTTTACCTGGTGGAACAAGTTATGCCTGGGTCCTTCGATGGCACCATTTCTGGATGCAGGGGACCGGTAATCCAGCCCTCCAGATGTGCCCATGCTGACTGGTCCACCAACAGTGCCCTTGTGCTGAAGTAATTTCCTGATAACACTTTTAGATCCAGGGAGGACCCCTGCACTAAACAGACAATAGGAAGTGCCTATGTAATGCAGGCATTGACGTGGACACCCGAAGTTATAAGACTGTGGATTTCCATAAGCAAAAGAGGCATGTAGGAACAAGGTTTTCATTTATTTCTGCCATCAATTAGTTATGGGGAGGGGGGTTCAGGGTGTGTGAATTTCAGCTTTAAATAAATTAGTGTGAAAGAGAGGTCTTTTGGGGAATTTTCTTAAATAATCTATATAAAATGCATTTACAATGGCATTCATCTTGTACTTTCACTAGTAGAGGTGAGTACATTTATGGTTACTATACACATAGCGAAAGTATTATTTAGCACTCAAACCATCGTATTTTTAATTTATTTTTTTTTACAAATAGGGAACATGTTCTGTTCTTTCCCTTCATATTTCCTTACTTGAGCAATCAGGATATTGAGGGGGACCTAGCAAATGTCTGCTTTATTTTAGACTTTGATTATGAAATTTTAGAGGAAGTTCTACCCTCTACGCACAGAGTATATATAGACTCTACACAATGGCAACACCAATTTTTGGAAAAAAAACAAACAGACAAAACCATTGCTTTGGAATCCTGCAATCTAGTTACGATATATATCTTTCATGGTATCCTCTGGATGCAACATTTTTATTACCATTTTAAATAAACCACGGTCTAAATTCCAGATATACTGTATATAAGGTAAGTTAAATTTCTTTTACTTCTATTATTTATAGTATATTATTGCACTGTTACACTGCAGTTTGTTATATTGAAATATAACAAACTTTTTATATAACAAACTAAAAATTTTTATGTTTCAATGTATATTCTGGTCCTTAAAATGTCATTATTTATTTAATTTCTCAACATACTACCCATTTGTAGGACTTCAAATGATAGTTACTACAGTCAAACCATCCATCCTTCCCATATATAGACCTCACTTGGGGGTTGATGTATAAAATTTCACACAGCGCTAGTACCCCTAGAAGCTCCGAGTATATAGGTTTAAAGTTCAATACACAAATCCCCAATTGTCTAGCAGACCTTGAAGGTGCAATCACATCTCTTCATTTGTTATTTTATACCTTTTATGTTCTTAATTTTCTTATACTATATTGAGTTTATTTTGTAAGGCAATATGCAAAATGTAGTAATCCACAGCATCCAATAGAATTTGATTTTTCTCAATGTTCTCATCTATCAAAAAGTGAAATCTGCTTTGGGTTATTGCACTGTTTTTAAAAAAAATCATGACACAAGGAAACAGAGACACAATTTGTTGTCTGGCTATTCCTGTGCTTTATTTAGCAGTTATATGAAGTATATACCCATTTTCTAATCCATTAGCATAATTTAAAGTAGTAGCCATGAATAAATACATTGTTCTCTGATAAAGGATAGGCCTAGTGATCCTTTGAGCCCAGGCATGCAACAGGCTTTCAGCGCTCAGTATTTTACTGCTGCATCTGGATAGCCTGTTCTGCTTTGTCCTGATGACCTAGTGAGTGAATTAGCCAGCCAGCACCCGGCATTGCCTAAGATGAGTGAGTCAGCACCCTGCATTGTTTAAGGTGGGTGAGTCTTCAGCAATGTAATTGTCCATATTTGGGCTTGTACTGTGTTCCTATTTGGGAACTAATATAAAGGCAAATAAGTCATTAATTATACTTTCAACAAGTCAGTGCTCTAGGCGAGTCCAGTCTTGCCCACTACAACACCCTCCGGTACATATCCAGTTCATCACCATTGATCCACAATACTCATAAGAAGTTGATGGCACCAACCAACAGTCCTTGCATATGGTTAAGTGTTGATTAGTGGGACACCTTTCAGAGTATTATCCTGACTGTACTTTTAGGAGTTTCAAATACATTCTTATGCAAAAATTGTCAGTTGGTTCCATCACCTTCTTTTCAGTAAGTAATGGATGATACACGGCACTATGGCTAATGGACATTTCATCAGAGCACTGACTGGCTATCACATGTGACTGGAGGTTACTGAGAGAGTGGTGAGGAGTCCATGCTCCAAGGTGAATGTAGGAATGGCATCCAGCAGAACTTTGTAAATGCTAATGGCTCCCACATAATGAGTTTTATGGTGATTTGTACAATTTACCACTTGAATAATATTTTTTTTTATTTTAGAATTCTGTCAACATTTCCATCTACAGATTTTTGAACATAAGATGTGGCTTCTATTCATTGTGTTTGGAGTCTGTGTATCAGAAATATCTGGTTTATCTGTGTACCGTATGAAGAACAAAGGTAAAGCAAATTCTATGTTGTTTTGATACTCTCATCTGTGCTGCATTGTTGATCAGTATTAACATGTCTTTATTGTATTCTATATGTCCTCCAGACATTATGTGATGGCCCTGACAGTAAGTTAATGATGGATGTTTAACAAGGCATTTAGGAGAGGGGCCAATTGTAGTTGTGCAAAGTGCTGAACTATTCCCCCCCCCCCCCCAGCAGCTGTTTA